CCCTCCCCCACCACGCTGGGCGGTGACGTCACGCCGCGGCCTGGCCCCGCCCCCACGGCCCTGCTCAGGGGGTTTGGACCTGTTGTGTCCCCCCTGCCGGGGACCTGTCCCGGGAGCCCCAATACCGCGGCACGTACCGGGCCCAGGGCAGGAGCTGGGCCCAGCCAGGGCGGCCCCTGCCCGGGCCCCGGGGTTGCCACTCTGTCTGACGGGGGTGCTGGTCCTCCCCGCTCAGGTCTCTTCTCCTTTGCCGCGAGAGTGAAAGCCGGGCCTCGGGCTTGGGGTGACTAATGCAGGCAGGACCTGTCGTGCCAGGCCTGGGGGCCGGCAGGAGGGTGTGCGAGCGCTTGTTGCTTGCTCCGGGGCTTCACCATGCGTTCAACTTTCTTCCCACTGTTTTCTTTCGCAGGTGTCCGGGGTTTCCCGGGCTTGCTGAAACTTCATCATTTCTGTTGAAGTTCGTGAGATTTCAGGCTGGTTTATGACCACGAGAACAACAAATGCGTGGTCTGCCTGGCGGACAGAGTTGTTTGGGTGAATTGGATCTCCTTTATGAGACCAACTTCAGTCGATTCACCCCGTTAACCTTGTCTGCCTCTGTCCTTAGACGGATGCGGCTACCACCTGCACCCCTGGTCCGCCTGGGGGAGTTTTCCAGCTCTACCTATATATAATTAACACCAGGATAAAGCTGCGCCATGTAGACCCGGCCTTCGCAATAAATGGGGGTTTCGTTTTTGTTTTTCCTTTCCGCAGCTTGTGCTTCCAAAGGTTTCGAAGCGCTGTGAGTCGTATTGTAAATAGGTTTTCTTGTATCTTTACGGGAATGTCCAGATGGGAGTTAGGCAGGGGGTGACAATCATACTGAAAATTCACTCCCTGCATTATATCAGTAGTAAATCTCAGAAAACTTAGTGTCAGAACTGCAGGGCGATGGCACAAGTGGCCCAGGGAAGTTTTAGCATCTCCTTCATTGGAGACTTTCAGGAAGAGGCTGGATAAGTACTTTACGGGGATGGGTCAAGAATAGTGTCCCATGGAGTTAGTTGTGCATTTAGCGAGCAGTTTCTGTTTAGCCATTGAGCGGGGCTTGTCGTTCCTAGTGAACCTAGGTCCACCATCAGCATATAAGAGACAGGACTGCCATCACGCAGGGGAGTGGACTAAGTATCTGTGGAGGGACTGTTGAACTCTGTGGTCCTACTAGCTTTCCTGTGAAAGCAAGCCCTTAAACTTGAAGTTCAGAATTCATCAGAATTGCTATTTCCATGTTGTAGCCTGTGGAAATATTTCAGGACTTTTAATGCATCGTTTCATTGCAAGCCATAGCTTATTATAAGTCTGTTTCTCTATTCTACCTACATATGTAAGCCTACATATCCTACATGTAACATACCTACATGTTCCACTTATGGGCAAAAGCTGTCTAGGGCAGGAGCTGGCAACCTGTGTCCCCTGGGCTGAAACTGGCCTGCAGAGTGATTGGCTCCAGCCTGTGAAGTTTTGATCTGGCCTGTGGTGGCACCAGGGGGTCTGTGGTGAATGACGTGCCTGGGTGCATCCCCATTTTTTGCCCTGAGCCATACATCCCCCCTAGCCTTCCCTGCCCCCTTGTCTTGCTCTATGCAGCAGGCAGTGCTTCCCCTTGCTGCTGAATTTGCCACTCCCCATTGCGGTTAGGGACAGGAATTGGTGGTACATGGCAGAGGTGGTGGTTCATGGTGGAGGTAGGAGCAGGTGTGAAGCTATTGCCAAGGGGGATCTATGGTGGCAATTGACAGCTTGTGACGGTGGCTTGGTTGCAAGCAGTGGCCTGGCACTTTCAAAAAGTTACCAACCCCTGATCAAGTGAGATTTGGATGCCCCGTTTCTCTTGCATTCCACCCCTTTGCAGATTTAGCAGCTTGTATAATAATAACCAATCTTTTTTCCTTTTTTGGCTTCTGGGTGATTTTCTGTTTTGTTTTTATTTGAGTACCTGCCATGGTTGATTAAGGATTAAGGCTGATTAAGGATTTTGAAGTAGGGAAAGTTTTGCAATGCTATGAAATGTGGGAGACCGGCAGCAAAACTTTGAATCAGTGGCTAAGTTGGGGGGGATTTCATTTTGGGTATTGTGAACAGATCCAGAGCAGGACCTGATTTTACCTCTTTGCTTTTTGGTGCATTTGGGGAAATTGCTGATTTGAAGTGTGGTAATCTGAGTTTTCTGTTTACAGCAGTTTGTAGAATGTTCTTCTGGATGTATTTCATGGTGTCTAAAAAGTTAATATAGTAGTATTCCCGAGAGATTTTGATTGAAGAGTGGTAATTGTTAAACCTGTGATGAAAGTCAGTAAGTGAGTCTAGGTATACTACCACAGTGCCCAACCTTCTGGCCCTGCAGGCTGGATGAGTGGTACGGGACCAGTCTGTGGGGTCGATCTGGCTGCCTGCTGCTCTGATCTAGCTGTGGGCCAGATCCTGTGCAGGGTTGGGCCGGCCACATGCTGCCCTGATCTAGCTGCCTGCCCCATTCCGTCAGTCTGGCCACATGCCTGATGTGGCTCCTGCTGGCCTGCACACCAGATCCAGCTGCCCAGAGGGCTGCTAATTTGGCAGTGAGAGAGTAGTAATTCATGTTGCCACTGCTCCCTTGCCCCCAAATTTCTGGACTCTTGAGGAGCCCTGTGGGCCAGATGATACCATTCCAGGGATTGGGGTTGAGCTCCCCTGCCCAGTATAAGAAAACCCCTTTTCACCACACACTCTTGGTTGTCACCTGCCATCCCACATTTGAACCTATGAGAATGATCATCAAACTACTATGAGGACACCCTACAAACTGCTGTACTTGAAAAGAACCAGACCTTGAGAAGAATATTCCCAGTTCCCCTAGCTCTTAGTCTTCAAACAGCCCCTAACCTTGCCCAATGCAACGTCAGAAGTAAACTTCCTGATGATCAGCAGGCATCTAATGGGACCCAACCCTGCCTGAGCAATAAATGCAAGACCTGTTAACACATCTCTACTGCCACATCAGTCAGTTCTCCCCCAAAATCATAATTCATGGACCAGTCAATATACATGTGTCCCAAAGGGTGGTATATTTCATGCAGTGCACCAAATGCCCGCATGGCAGTAATGTGGGTCAACTTGTTGCCTGATCTTGAAGTTCTTGCACTCAGCTCTACCTGACACCTTTAGAAGATGAGCATGGAAACAGAAATTCATGAGCCTGTTGGATGCTAAATACCATGGACTTAGGCAGTGTTGAAGGGTGATAGTTGCTAAACCTGTGGTGGAAGTCACTACAATAGTGGCATCCAAGCTTTTGGCCTTACAGACTTCCATGGTCTATTATAATCTACCTAATATTTACTAACCTCTGCACTTCACAGGGGTAATGGCCCTCCTGAACAATCTTGTTCCTCCTTTATCGGGTTTTTACTGCACATCTGTCTGTTGGCTACCTAATAACTTCTCTTATATTGTGTTTGTGTTTTATAGTTGGAATTTTACACAAGCTTTTGTTCATTCTTCTACTTATAGCTCTGCTACATCCTCTCTCCCAGAGGCCTGAGGAAGGGGAATGTGATACCTAAAGGCTTGTCTTTGTCTATTCCAGCCATGCAGTTGGTCCAATAAAAGATCACTCGCAAGAGTTCTTGCCTCCCATGTTCTAAATGGTTCAAATTTGGCAAAGTTACAAGCCACCAAAAACTGTCTGAATAATGGAAGGTGTTGGATAGCTTTCATAATTGGTACTACTAGCCCTGCCTACAATGTGTTTATGCTTTCTCTAGGAAAATCGAGAGAACCTGATGAAATAGTATTGCTTGCTTCACCCCCAGTATTTTTTGAGTGCCTATAGTGTCAGTTTCCTTTGAAATTTGTAAGACGATCTTCTGATTTATCTCCCTCCCTGGTTTTGTAGGTTATTCAGCTTCTGAAAGCTGGGAAGGCAAAGGAAGTTTCCTATAATGCGCTGGCTTCACACATTATTTCGGAAGATGGGGACAATCCAGAAGTTGGAGAATCTCGTGAGGTCTTTGATCTTCCTGTGGTAAAGGTGAATAACCAGTATTCAAGACTGCAGAACTGTCAATGTGATTGTCAGCTGCAGCCATTGATTGTAATTTTGAGTTTAAGTACCCTTCTCAGTCACGTGATGCGTATAGAAAACGTGACATAAGTAATCTGCTTTGAAACTTGGCACGCCAGTTATTTCCTGAGCAACAGTTATGTAGGATGCCACAGCTTAGTATAAGGTTTTTTTTATCCCAACTGATTTGTCCCCCACATCAGTGAACTTTTTGTTGTGCCCTCTGGATCCTCCCTCCTCCTCACATAATGTTCTTAATCCCCTTTCCCTTTCTTGATCAGTTATTTAGTGCAATAAGGTCTGCTGAAGAAATTCTCCTGAAGTTGCTGGCAATGAAAGTAATTGTTGTCTGTATAACAAGTGTTTTGCTAGGCAAGGTGCTGGCAGATATGCATGTCTTTATGTACCTGCACCTGAAAGAGCTGATAGTACTGTAGGTAGATTCTCTAGAGCTTAGTATTTCCAGTTCTTTTGATGTTGTTGTGAGTCCTGCAATAATTGTTGTAGTTTTTTTGTTTGCTTTTTTCCCCTTAAAGGGCTGATACGTGCCCATGACAGATTCTCAGCTTTCATTAAATAATAAAAAAAATCAGTTTCCAGTTCCATGGTTGTGATGTTAAGTTTGGAAAAGATTAACCTTCAGAATTCATGAGGCAGAAGACAAATTAAGAATGTTCTATATACGATATATGATATAAAGTGAATTTTTTTGAATGCTTGAAATTTGGCTACAGTGAATTCATGTGGTCTGGTATATGATATAATCCATAGATTTGCATAGCCGTATAGATGTACAGGTAAACAATGTGATGCAAGTAATAGAAGCAAAACAAGAAGTAACAGAAGCATAACGAACAGCACTAGGGACAACAATAGCCTTTGTGTTTAGGAAAAAAAAGAAACAAGTCAATTTTCTAGGATGCCTTTAGGCTTTTTCATTACTAATAGCACTTAATGTTATGTTGTTTTCCACAGTTTGGGGCAGAAGTGAGAGAGAATAGGTTAGGGGCTATATAGAAATGCTGGATGTGTACAAGTCCATGGGGTAGATGCATCTGAGGGCCCATATACATCTGAGGGAGTTAGCTGATGTGATTGCAGAACTGCTGGCAGTGGGGAAACTGGCACAAAATGGGGAAGTGAATTTCTCAAGCTTACAGACCTGGAAATGGCTCAGGTTTCATGACTCCCAGTTAAGTATTCTTTCCACTGGACCGTGCTGCCTCTCAAGTTTTGTCTCCTCTGCCAACTTAAGGCTCCATTTCGATGAGCAATAGAAATGACCATGTTATAGACATGTTTTATAATGTGGAGTGCTCTCTGGCTTAATTCTGCAGAGTGGTAGTCATAGTGGTAGACACTACTTAAGTCTAGAGAGAGGGCTTGGAAACACAACTGGTGCTTTCCCCTTCTTAATGGATCTGACTTGATGTACTTCTTGAAATACTATCAACTTTTCTTTCCCTGTACTCACCAGGGGCAAGACTTTCTGCCACGTTGTTCAATCTGATCTGAAAACAATATAATGCAGTCATACAAATCGAGATCAGGCTTAGTGCAAAAAGACCTAGAATTAATGGAAAAAGAGTGTCTTAAAATGTAATAAAAATATAGAATAAGGATAAAAAAAAGGAAACACAAAAAATTATGGGGAGCAGAAATAGGGTTTCAGAATAAGCACACGCCTCTTGTCTCAGACAAGTCATTTTTTTCTGCTTCAGTTTCTCAGTTTGTAAAAGCTAATGATATCTAATATTGTAGAGAGGATTAAGTTACTTGTTTGTAAAACACTCAGAAAACGTAAGGTGAAAGACATTGTAGAATTAAAATGTTAAGAGTTTTTCATTTTTAATGTGTTGTTTTGTTACATGTTTATGTAAACATTGCTTAAAATATTCTTCATTGTTTTTGTCTTGCAGCCTTCCTGGGTGATCTTGTCTGTTCGCTGTGGAGTCCTTCTGCCGTATCCTTTCTATTGAGTAAAATGTAAAACTAGTTTTTGTGTGTTTAAATGTCAGAATTTGCTGAAGTAAAATAGCAAAACAATGACAATTGTGTTTAGTTAAAAACTAAAATCCAAGCAGCACAGACTATTAGAAGCATTTGAACATGAAATTGTAGATCTTCTGGAACTACTTTTTAAGGTTAAGGTATATCTGTACATAAATGTTTGCAGGATTTGGGCCTGGGATTCTAACACCAGTGTTATTGCAATACAGATAAACATTGAGGATCCTGGTTTTCTCTGCATAAAAATCCCAAATTCTGCGATTTAAAAAAAAAAAAAAGCCCAGATTTTGTGATTAAAAACCCTAAAATCCGTGTTTTTCCATGAGTAAACTGAAACACCATCTATTTATAGTATATATAGGTATCAGTTAAACACAATGTTTTATTGATACATTTACAATTTTAACGCCATTTGGAAGCCTACCAGTGCCTGAATCACTATAATAAAATCGTTTCTAAATACATATAAATTATGGCATTTGATTTTGGTTTTTTATCATGGAAAATCAGAGCTGCTTCTGTCCCCTTCATTCACCAGGGCACGAGTCCAGCTGTAACTGTCCCTCTTGCTGCTTTGTGATGTTGAGCAGCCCTGATATGCCAGTGCCCTGCCCCTGCCATTGCTCCTCACTCCCAATCCATAGCCCCCTGGCCCTACCAGTGCCTATCACTCCAGACCTGCTGCCCTAGGCCCCAGCCCCCCAGTGTGTGGGGAATGGGTGGTTGTGGGGAAAGGGGGTGTGCACACAGGCGATGCATGGGGAGAGCAAGGAGGGGCAGAGGTGAAGCATTGGGGGGGGAGGGGGAGGTATGTGCCCCCTTCAGATTTCTGCACCCACAGTGGGGTCTGGGCCAGACCTGCTCCCGGCAGAAGCTGGTAAAACCTGGCACAGGAGGAAGCACCACACCACCGTGGCCGCCAAGGTAAGGCACAGCAGCGGTGGTGATGCGGTGCTCCCTCCTGTGCCAGGTCCTACCCAGAGCTGGTCTGGCCAAGCTGCAGCCCTGCACCCTGTTGTGGGAGCAAAAATCAGAAGAGGGGGTGGGGGGCGGGGCATGTGCCTCCCCCCCGCTGCATTGCCTGTGCGCCATCACCTGTGCCCTTTCGCATGTTGCCTGTCATCCTCCTTCTCCGTGCCACTCCCATAGACTTACTTGGAGGGAGCTGCAGGAGCTGGTCTCTACTACAGTGCCTGGCTGCCCCGTGCATGTGCACATGCATGTAGCACCCCCTGTGTCCATGTCCCACAGCTCCAAACAGCCCCTTGCAGGCTGGAACTCTTCCAGGCTGTAATGGCAAACCCATGGTTTCCCAGGTTTTTCTCCTTTTAAAGAAAATCTGTGATTTTGTCCTTTAAAGGAGAAAATCCACGTTTTTCCACAGCAAACAGAAAGCCCAGGTCCCTGATAACAAGCAACTTGCCTGTATTTTCTGATCCTGCTTCTGATTAAAATAGAGCTTTAATGTTAATATGTTATGGTATAAAGCTTTGTGATGAGACACTGAGAGTGTACAGCTTGGCTGTGTACCTTTTAATTGATAAACTTTCACTGACCTTACTTTATGTGTGCAGCTTTACCTCTCCAAAAACCTGTATTTCACATTTTTTGTTGTACTTCTAAAATTAGTAAGCAAAGGTAGTGAAGTTGCCTTTAAACAAAATTGTGTCAGTTAGGTTTTGATGTTAAACCTTCATTGAGGTGAATAATATAGTGAATTCCAGGGCTTGAAAGTGTTTTCTGAAAGTCTGGCTTGACCAAGTAGCATGTTTCTCTTTGTCACAAAGCTTGTATCTTTTGAGCAAAGGGCGACAGATTCTTTTTTTGAATGAAAGCTGAGAATTTGCAGTAGTTTGGTCAATATAGTAGACATTTTAGAGAGGTTGTAAATTAATAAGTTATTTATTTAATTGTGAGATGTCAGTACTATTGGAGCATTTTTTTTTTATGTCTCAGTGAGTCATGTTCAGTATGTCTGGAGCAAGTTGTCTTGAGTGTCAGTAACAGGGCAGTAACTCCTGTGCCTGACAGTTTATCAGGGAGCGTGTTGCAAAGGCTGACGGTTCTTGATTCAGCACCGCAGAAATTGTTATGAAATCACTCTTGAGCAGTCTTCATTTTTATTTTGATGATCGTTTTGGATTTTTTTTAAATGGATCAGGCTAAGCTTCAAAATTTGACTGTCTTGTGAATAATTGGTGAGGAGAAATTGGCAAAGAAGCCAAAGATTAAATGGGTACAGTGTGATGTCTAGATCAGGATTTGGCTCGCTGGCAGGGCAGCATGGGGGAAGCTGCGTGTATTGCTGCTCACACTCCTTCTTTTCTGCCTGTAGAGGTCTTCAGTCTCCAAGACTGTCCTTCTGGAACGTTTGACAAGACTCACATTTAACAACATGAAAAAGTACAAGCTGTGGAGATACCAATTGGCGGAGAAAATACAGCTTTATTATTGCAATTTCAAGATACTGATGGTCAGATTTTTTAACAGACATTGCTAGGCTCACGTGTATGCAATCTGCATTTGCTCAGACACTCACGTAATTGTCTTCCTGACCAGACTGTGGACATAAATGATAGGCCCATTTCTGTCTACAGATAGCAACTGAGTAGTTAAGCAGTCTGAATGTGAGGCTTTGAAATTTGTTCTTTCTGAAAATGTTACCCTATGAGGAACTTAACAACAAAAAGGAATTAATTGATGCTTTGTTTTTCTGTGGACAGCCTGGCATTTGAGCTTAAATCTTAGAGCACGACATGTCCCTAGCATTATTTACTTTCTCCGCCCCCCAGTACAGGATTTGAAAGTTTGAAGAGGGTAGACTTCCTTTCATCTGTGAAAGATTCAGGATACTAGGAATATGCTTAATATACTTAATGCTTTCTTCATCTTGTTTCTTTTTCTTTTCCTTTTCATGTTTAAAAAATATTTACCAGACAGCTAGTAGAAATGCTGATTATGGGTGGACTCAGGTGAAACTGCTAGGAAATGGGAAGAGGGATAACCAAAAGATATGGAAGGAGTGGATTTGTAGAAGTCCTCAGAATTGGCCTAACTTCTGCTGCAGCTGAAATCAACAGAAGTCTGACCAATGTGCTCAGCAGAATGGAGGCACTGTTTGAGTGTTTTTGAAAATCCCACTCTTAATGTTTGGTTACAGCATTTATTATACTGCGAAAGGGCAAATGGCCTGTTGGCAGTACTGGGAATTAACTAGTTAATTAACTAGTTAAAATGGTAAAGAAATGGCTAACTTTTAACTTTAACCAGTTAAATTTTTCAGCTGTCGACTTTTAACTTTAGTTAACTTTTTTTTTTTTTTTTTTTAAT